TCTCACTCATCACCGCTCGTTCCGAGATCTGGCGAACATTGCCCCGATAGCGATTGACGTATCGACATAATTTCGCCCTTCGCCACTCAAGTTCGAGATCAGCACTTCCCAAAATCTCACTCATTACCGCTCCAACTGAGTTCTGGCGAACAGTGTCCCGGTGGCGAAAGACGAATCGACCTAGTTTCGCCCCCTCGACTCTACGTCAATGCCAATTTTGAATCTTCCCAACCGATGAGCACTTCTTCCGCTAACCCAGTGCACGACAAAACAGCGGTGTATTCAAAAATCACACCGAGAGAAAGCCAACCAAAACAGAACCATCACGGGAGTCACACGAAATTTACGTGCGGGTCTTCTGACCAACTTTTCTCTCCATGCCTCGCGCACGAAATCCGTGTTACGACCTTGGCTGCCCCTAAAACGGTCAAGTTCGAGATGTGCACTTCCCGATGACCAGCAGCGCTAGATCGCCGAAATCTCACTCATCACCGCTCGTTCCGAGATCTGGCGAACATTGCCCCGATAGCGATTGACGTATTGACATAATTTCGCCCTTCGCCACTCAAGTTCGAGATCAGCACTTCCCAAAATCTCACTCATTACCGCTCCAACTGAGTTCTGGCGAACAGTGTCCCGGTGGCGAAAGACGAATCGACCTAGTTTCGCCCCCTCGACTCTACGTCAATGCCAATTTTGAATCTTCCCAACCGATGAGCACTTCTGCCGCTAACCCAGTGCACGACAAAACAGCGGTGTATTCAAAAATCACACCGAGAGAAAGCCAACCAAAACAGAACCATCACGGGAGTCACACGAAATTTATGTGCGGGTCTTCTGACCAACTTTTCTCTCCATCCTCTCCATGCCTCGCGCACGAAATCCGTGTTACGACCTTGGCTGCCCCTAAAACGATCAAGTTCGAGATGTGCACTTCCCGATGACCAGCAGCGCTAGATCGCCGAAATCTCACTCATCACCGCTCGTTCCGAGATCTGGCGAACAGTGCCCCGATAGCGATTGACGAATCGACATAGTTTCGCCCTTCGCCACTCAAGTTCGAGATCAGCACTTCCCAAAATCTCACTCATTACCGCTCCAACTGAGTTCTGGCGAACAGTGTCCCGGTGGCGAAAGACGAATCGACCTAGTTTCGCCCCCTCGACTCTACGTCAATGCCAATTTTGAATCTTCCCAACCGATGAGCACTTCTGCCGCTAACTCAGTGCACGACAAAACAGCGGTGTATTCAAAAATCACACCGAGAGAAAGCCAACCAAAACAGAACCATCACGGGAGTCACACGAAATTTATGTGCGGGTCTTCTGGCCAACTTTTCTCCTCATCCTCTCTATGCCTCGCACACGAAATCCGTGCTACGACCTTCGCTGCCCCTAAAACGATCAAGTTCGAGATGTGCACTTCCCAATGCCCAGCACTACAAGATCGCCGAAATCTCACTCATCACCGCTCCTTCCGAGATCTGGTGAACAGTGCGCCGATAGCGATTGACGAGTCGACATAGTTTCGCCCCCTCGACTCTACGTCAATGCCAAAATTCAAATTCCCAACCGATGAGCACTTCTGCCGCTAACGCAGTGCACGACATGCGGTATATTCAAAATCACAACGAGGGAAAGCCAACCAAAACAGACGCATCACGGCAGTCACACGAAATTCATGTGCGGGCCTTCTGACCAACGGTTCCCTTCATCCTGTCCATGCCTCGCACGCAGAATCCAGGCTATAACCATTGCTGCGCCTAAAACCATCAAGTTCGAGATCAGCACTTCCCAATAACCAGCAGCGCAAGATCACCGCTCCTACCGAAATCTGGCGAGCAGTGCCCCGATAGCGAATGACGAATCGATATAGTTTCGCCCCCTCGACTCTACGTCAATGCCAAATTTCAAATTCCCAACCGATGAGCCCTTAATTCTGCCGCTAACGCTGTGCACGACGACAGCGATTATATCAAAAATCACAACGGCAGAAAGCCAACCAAAACTGAACCCTCACGGGAGTCAAGAGAAATTCATGTGCGGGCCTTCTGACCAACGTTTCTCTTCATCCTGTCCATGTGCCACGCACACGAAATCCATGTTAAAACCTTCGCTGCCCCTAAAACGATCAAGTTCGAGATCAGCACTTCCCAATGCCCAGCAGCGCAAGATCCGCCGAGATATCACTCATCACTGCTCCATCCGAGTTCTGGCGAACACTGTCCCCGTAGCGAAAGACGAATCCACATACATGTAGTTTCGCCCCCTCGACTCTACGTCAATGCCAAATTTCAAATTCCCAACCGATGAGCACTTCTGCCGCTAACGCAGTGCACGACAACAGCGGTATATTCAAAATCACAACGAGGGAAAGCCAAACCAAAACACGACACATCACGGGAGTCACACGAAATGCATGTGCGGGCCTTCTGACCAACGGTTCCCTTCATCCTGTCCATGCCTCGCACGCAAAATCCATGTTACAACCATTGCTGCGCCGCGCCTAAAACCATCAAGTTCGAGATCACCACTTCCTAATGCCCAGTAGCGCAAGATCGCCGAGATCTCACTCATCACCGCTCCTTCCGAAATGTGGCGACTAGTGCCCCGATAGCCATCCAACCGTCAAGGCGCTGAACACGTCCAAAACTAAGTAATTCAGGAAAGTACGCGAAATTCGTGTGGGAACAATCAGACCCGACAATCGATACTTTTTCTCCCTCACACACACACGGATATCGCCTTTGCCCACCCTACTTCACAGCATCGATTAGGTCTATCACCAGTCATTCAACCGCCTAGGCGTTGAACCCGTCTAATGTGATTTTATCACAAGGAAATCATCACCACAAACTCAGTCATTCAGGAGATCACGCGAAATTCGTGTGCGAACCATCGGACCCAACAATCGATACTGTTTCTCACACACAGGCACGGATATCGCCTTTGCCGACCCTATGCCACCGTATCGGTTACCATCATCACCAGCCATTCAGCCGTCAAGGCGCTGAACACGTCCAAAACTAAGTAATTCAGGAAAGTACGCGAAATTCGTGTGGGAACAATCAGACCCGACAATCGATACACACAGATATCGCCTTTGGCCACCCTACTTCACAGCATCGATTAGGTCCATCACTAGTCATTCAGCCGCCAAGGCGTTGAACCCGTCCAATGTGATTTCATCACAAGGAAATCATCATCACAAACTCGGTCATTCAGGAGAGCACGCGAAATTCGTGTCCAAACCATCGGACCCGACAATCAATACTGTTTCTCACACACAGGCACGGATATCGCCTTTGCCGACCCTATGCCACCGTATCGGTTACCATCATCACCAGCCATTCAGCCGCCAAGGCGTTCAACCCGTCGAATGTGATTTCATCCCGACGAAATCGTCACCAACAACTCAGTCATTGAGGGGAGCACGCGAAATTCGTGTACAAACCTTCGGACCAGCTTGTGCACTGTTCGAGGTCACCCTGCTCCTGACTGGCAACTCAACCACCCACCCTCTCATAGGTAGCACTGCACCCGCACACCCAATCATCTATCGACCCTTCGAAAATTGCTTTGCACATTTTGGATCTTCTACGACTGGACTTACCAGAGCTAAAGCATAGCAGAGGTCGTCTAATTTTTCACTCTACCCGTTACCTTCGCAAATTGCCTCCAGCCATGCTCAGAGGCAATTTCTGGCGGCCTTTCCGTATTCACACCATAGGGAGTTAGAAAATTCTCGGACTTAGAAAATTTCGACGAAACTTTTGGCGACACTCGTCAGGATCTAAACTTATGTTTTTTTTTTAGGAAAGATGCACGACTGCACCAGCACGAACTGTGGCCCCACCGGAGCACGAACAAGACGGGTGAGTTTACAAGAAGCTTGTGTCACTGGCTTTTTTCCTTTAGGCAGATCCTGAGCGAAAAACAGTGTGACTTCACCATAGGGATTTGCGATTAGCGGACTTGGAACCCTCGTGATGTGCATGAGTTCTCAACGTCCAAGTAGCTGGCATTCGCTGAACTTACTTGCCCGTCGTGTTGCTCGTGTGGAGGTCGGTCATCAGTTTCATCCAGGAACAACCATGTGAAGTACATGTACTTTTGAATTTGACAAGATAGTAACCTTCTCTCAACATCCTATCTGTGTTGCTCAGTTTGCGTCCACAAATCACATCAACCCTTCTATCACCTCACGCAACGCCGTCATTCGCTGCCAAACAAAATGCTTGCACGACTTCCTGGCTGCCTCCTGCAATTCCCCACAGCCTCCACATCCGTCAAGAGGGTCACGAGCTCAGCTCTATTGCCGCAAGTCAGATAGCGGAAGCGTTCCAACACAGCAATGTTGAGATGCCTAGACCGGGTCGGCCTCACATCACACCACCGCCACCACCACTGCCACCACCGCCACATGAACACAATGACTGTACATTTGGTGTACATTTGGCCCCGATGACTGTGGGCTTTCATCTCACAAAGGAGAAATTGAAAAGGGGAAAGGTGTCAGCACACTGTGCACTAGTGACTAGTGACACGCGGAGATGCTAGATGTATACATGTTTTAACAATAACGTCACCTTGGTCACAGTGCAAAACAATGACAACGACAACGATTATGATGATTACGACGATGATGACTTCCATAGCAGCGGTGCGGTGGCAGCAGCGGTGCGGTGGCAGCAGAAATAATCTACTAGGACACTGTGAGAGTATAAACACTGTGAGAGTGGCAGTGAGCCACAGTACAACTGACCCAGGAATCCCCCTGACTCAGAATACACATAGAAACACAGTGAACGCAATAAGGACTGAGTGTACTCAATACATGCACACACACACACACACACTCTCACACACACACACGAGCACGCACACACACACGCATAACTGTTACACACGCACACACACACACACGCCCCCCCCCCCCCACACACACACATTGAAACACTGACACAGGATGCACTACAAATTGTGTGTACAGTGAGAAGGGGCTGGCCTCGATGACCATCAGTGCTGCAATGCTACTTATTGCTAGTGTTAGTGCTGGTGCTGGTAGTGATTGTCAAAATATACTCAATGAGCACTGCCGCAGCCTATCTTGGTATGATGAATGATACAGTAACCGCATTACAGAGTTGTCATCACTAGTCACAACAATTCCAAGTCCAAAGAGCACTTATTGACTGCAGTGGCATGCTCATAGTGCTCGTCAGGAAAAATCATCCATTTCACAGAATTCAATTCACAGGTAGTTCTAACTCGTGATCAAGTCGAGGAAATGGAAATGTCGGTGGCTGAAGAACCATGTACTGTATCAGGTACTAGTGTTTGATTGACAGGTGAAAACAGAGCATGAGAAGCTGAGCTAGACGTGCCTGGCATGACAATGGTCTATGTCCAAACAAACGGTGGATACACTGACTGACTTGCACACAAAGCCAGGCAGCAGCAACACACACATTATAACATGCCTGCATGTGTACACCACTCTCTACAGATATCCAAACATCAAACCTCACATGCCTGCATATGCGTATGTACAGCAGCGGCAGTGACAGTGGTGACAGCACCAGCCAGTGCCACCCTGGCAGCAGCAATAGCAGAAGCAGCAGCAGCAGGAGTGGCATGTTAAAAGTTAGCAGAAGAAGCCATGGAAGCAATTTGATTACCAACCATGTATTTCAGCATCATCCACCGTTCCCAGCAACTTTTGAGTCAGCTCTCAACGGCATACCGGCAACCATCCCAGCAGCCATTCTGGCCTTCCAGCTTTCACTTGGCCGGTGAGAGGCAGCAGCTAAATCAGCTGATCACCTGCTGTCTGCTGGCTGCTACTACTTGACAGTAGATTTGACAGTAGACTTGCAGAATACATGAGACTGTTTCAGTTTGTGTTGATGTTCATGTGTGTGTTTGCTGGACGATGAAGAAATACACCAGCCGGAACAGCTCCAGTAGCTACAGCAAGAACAACAGGGTCTGCTCCAGTCTGAAGAACCACTATCACGCTACACAATAGTACAAATGAAGCCATCATGGGGAAGTACGATGATGGACGTTGTCTGGTCTTCTTTGCCTCTGGCTGTGTCGTGTCTGTTTCAAGTGTTTGGTTATGTGTCGCTGACGGCAGCTCTGGGCTACTGGATCCTGCAGTCATACAAACGCAAAGAAACGACCAAACAGTGTGACACGTCCGCGTGACTAGCAATGCAAATCGATGAAAGCTTAGAAGGATAAACATGGTAGTTTCATCCATGTCTGGTGAATCACCTGCTGCCTTATACGTGATGTTCTACCATCATTCCCCCTGCTACAGGGGAACAGGGCGGAGCAGTGATGGACGTGTAACAGTGTGTTGCACACTGCGTTAGAAAGGTGGTTGCACAGTGCGTTAGAAAGGTGGTTACACAGTGCGTTAGAAAGGTGGTTACACAGTGCGTAGAAAGGTGGTTACACAGTGCGTTAGAAAGGTGGTTACACAGTGCGGGGTAGCATTGTGCAGTGAGGTGCAGTGGTGTGAATGCAGTGAGGTGTATTGTGGGGGCAGTGCAGTCCCATAGTGTGCAGTGTGAGAGGGGGGGGGGGGAGCAGTGCCGTGCAATTTGGTGTAGTGCCTATGTGTGTATGGGGGGGGGGGAGGATGCAATTCAGGTTGCATTTGTTTGGTCATTCCGGAATGGGCATGGAATGCAGTCGGTACCCATCACGGAATTGGAACGAGCGTAACAAACAAACACACTGGCATGCATTCAGGAATCTGGAAAAAGTGTTGCACAACTCTGGAAATGACGGTCGAATGCTTGTTGCCTTGCCAAGACCACTGCCAGTCCCGCTATTTCCAGCTATTTGCTTCCGTAAGTTTCTGCATGTGCCTACGACAGTCATGATGAAGGAGCTGCCAAACATGGCGTAGGTCTACGAGCGCCTGTAACCAGGGTGCCTGCCGGCGGCGTTTGGCCGCTACTTCATCATGCTATTCGACCTCGTATCAGTCAATGAAACGTATCTAGCTCTACTGCTGAAGTACATGGATTGGAACTACTTGATTGACAGAGGCGAGGCACTGTTGTAAGAAAAAGTGAAGTGGCATGCTCAGTGCCTCTTTGGGTCACTATGTGCTACAGATCGTCGGGCTCGAATAAATTTATAATTCTGGCTCGCCTCCTTGTGATTCTAGAGGCCCTGCTTGACGATGAGGAGCTGAGGTATAAATACGAATAATGAGAATCGCATGGTCTGGACTCTTAGTATAAATACACCTATTACACTTATCTCTAGTTCTTGTCCCGGGCGAACGCTTTCTCAGGCAGCGAAGGGTCAAAATACTGCCAACAAGTATTTTCGCCGAGGTTACAGAACCAGCCGATACCCTGGACGATTTCCGCCAACATTCCCATATGTCGATAATCGCGTTTGAAGTTTTGTTGGCAGAGGTATGGAACAGCGACGAAGCCCCCGGGCATTTTCATTCCGCTCGGAATGACTACTCATTCCACTTTTTCTTAGGAATTGCCGGAATCGATTCTGCCCCATTCATTCCGCGACCAGAATCGGAATTGCACCGAACAATCGCTGTCGCGTGCATCAAACAAACGCACCGGAACCAAAACACAGTGGAATGACACCGAACAAACGAAACCTCAGTGTAGTGTGTGAGGGGGGGGGGCAGTACCATTCAGTGTAGAGCATGTTGGGGGGGGGGGGGGCAGTGCAATGCAGTGTAGTTCGGGGGGGGGGGGCAGTGCAATGCAGTGTAGTTCGGGGGGGGGGGGGGCAGTGCAATGCAATGCAGTGTAGTTCGGGGGGGGGGGGGGCAGTGCAGTGCAATGCAGTGCAGTGAAATTTAGTGTAGTGCCTTGCGGGTAGGCCCCCCGTGTAATATGCCGGCATTTTTTTGAGCATTTTCGGTACAATCCGCTAACCCAGCACTTTGGGCTTGTGATGCAGCATTTTGGGGGAAACGGAGCACTTGGCCGTTGTGTATCAAAATTGAGAGAACAACTTCCCAAACAAGAACGTCACTTCCGCATTCCGTAGGTTAGCTTCTTGTTGAGTAGTTTATGAATTGTTTACCATGGCAGACTCGAGCAAGTCTCTTATTGAGTATTTTGTGACTCCCTGGTTTTGACGGCGTGTGCTGAGGATTACAAAAAGTGAGCATTTTCCGAGCATTTTCGGCAAGGTTTATGAGAATTTCCCAAAAGCGTTTTCGGCAAATTTTCGGGCATATTACACCGGGCCCTACTTGCGGGGGGGGGGGGGGGCAGTGCAATTCAGTGTAGTGCCTGTGTGTGGGGGGGGGGGGGGGATGCAGTGCAATTTAGTGTAGTGCCTTGGGGGGGGGGGGGGGGGCAGTGCAGTGAATTCAGTGAGTGCGTTCGATTATGCACACAAATAGATTCCTGAATCCATTCATGAATCGATTCGCGCTATTCACATCACAACAAGTGAATAGGGTGAATGGATTCCAGGGCTCATGACATGAAAATCGAACGACTTGAATGCATGCGAATGGATTCATGAATCGATTCAAGTGCATAATCAAACGCAGCCAGTGCAGTGCAGTGCAATTCAGTGTAGTGTGTGTGTGTGTGGGGGGGGGGGGGTGCAGTGCAATTTAGCTGTTGAATGGTGCAATGCCAGCAAAAGCTGCTATGGCTTCTGCTGGCTTTGCAATGAAAAATACAGCTAGACTGGAGCTGAAAAAAAGAAAAGAAGAAACGTGCTCAGGATGAGACTCGAGTACACGCATACTCTCCCAGCAGGTTCTGTGGATGTCACTCATAGATGCGTAATTTCGCGTGACGCACATAGGCACATATGCACCTAGTCCTAGGCACCTAGGCGTTGGCTTGTGAGATTACCTCTTCTGACAGTCGGCTATCACTGGCTACTATAGTCCGACGTAGCACCTCAATCCACTGTTTCTCCTCTTCATTAGTCTGGGCCTGTAACCAAGCAACACACACACAGCATATTCATCATTCTGGATCTGTAACCTAGCAACACACGACACATCCATCATTCAATTGCTGGGTCTGTAACCTACCTACACAAGACATATTCATCATTCTGGGTCTGTAACCAAGCAACACAAGACATATCCAGCGTGCACGGTATGGGTGAAATGATCGGGTAAACGAGTCCTCTTTTCCTTGCAGCTTCATAACAAGTCGGGGGGGCACTTCTGATAGTTCCTAGTGTAAACCTAAAGCTAGCCTACGCAATATACTGTTGTTTGCGAGTCCAATGTTTGTCAGTGTACAGTGCATGTTCGTAGCTTTGCCCCGATGTCGCTCCCTGCATACAGTAAGTCAAACTTGAGCTTAAATTTCTTCCAGACACTGACACTGAGTTAATATTGAATAGAAAGAGAGTGAGAGAGTACAGGTATTGGAGAAAGACAGAGTGTGACTTGTTGGTTCGGCTAGCTTTCCCTTTGCAATGCTCTAGAGTTTGCTTGATAGCGGCAAGGCTCACCCTAAATGCGCTCGATGCATCGTCCCACATAGTCAAACATATCAGAGTCTCACAATTCCCTTGAGAGAGTAAGGTGGTATGCAAGACCAGCTCATCGTTCAATGCCAAGAAGCATACGTCCCGAATCACCGGGCATAGAGTCACATGGCGGCCGCACATAGTCAAACATAGCAGAGCCTCGCACTTCCCTTGGAGGAGTGAGGTCACACGAAAATTGTACCCCCCAATGCCAAGCAACACTTGTGTCCTTATAGTCAAACATATCAGAGCCTCACACTTCCCTTGAAGGAGTGAGGTTGTATGCAAGACCGACTCATCGTTCAATGCCAAAGAACACACGTCCAGAGTCACCGGGCATGTTGTTACAAGGCTGTCCCACATAGTCAAACAAATCAGAGCCTCACACTTCCCTTGAAGGAGTGAGGTTGTATGAAAAACCGACTCATCGCTCAATGCCAAGGAACACGCGTCCCGAATCACCGGGCATTGAGTTACAAGGCTGAGCCCGATAGCCAAACATATCAGAGCCTCACACTTCCCTTGAAGGAGTGAGGTTGTATGCAAGACCGACTCATCGTTCATTGCCAAGGAACAGCCGTCCGGAATCACCGGGCATGGATTTACAAAGATGGGCCCCATAGCCAAACATATTAGAACCTCACACTTCCCTTGAAGGAGTGAGGTTGTATGCAAAACTGACTCATCGTTCAATGCCACGGAACACGCGTCTCGAGTCACCTGGCATGGAGTTACAAGGCTGGGCCCCATAGCCAAACATATCAGAGCCTCACACATCTCTTGAAGGAGTGAGGTTGTATGCAAGACCGACTCATCGTTCATAGCCAAGGAACAGACGTCCCGAATCACCGCGCATGGAGTTACAAGGCTTTCCCACATAGTCAAACATATCAGAGCGTCACACTTCCCTTGAAGGAGTGAGGTTGTATGCAAGACCGACTCATCGTTCAATGCCAAGGAACACATGTCCCGAATCACCGGGCATGGAGTTACACGGCAGTCCCACATAGTCAAACATATCAGAGCCTCACACTTCCCTTGAAGGAGTAAGGTTGTATGCAAGACCGACTCATTGTTCAATGCCAAGGAAAACGCGTCCCGAATCACCGGGCACGGAGTTACAAGGCTGGGCCCCATAGCCAAACATATCAGAGCCTCACACTTCCCTTGAAGGAGTGAGGTTGTATGCAAAACTGACTCATCGTTCATTGCCAAGGTACACACGTCCCGAATCACGGGGCATGGAGTTACAAGGCTGGGCCCCATAGCCAAACATATCAAAGCCTCACACTTCCCTTGAAGGAGTGAGGTTGTATGCAAAACCGACTCATCGTTCAATGCCAAGGAACACACGTCCCGAATCACCGGGCATGTTGTTACAAGGCTGTCCCACATAATCAAACATATCAGAGCCTCACACTTCCCTTGAAGGAGTGAGATTGTATGCAAAAAGACTCATCGTTCAATGCCAAGGAACACGCGTCCCGAATCACCGGGCATGGAGTTACAAGGCTGAGCCCGATAGCCAAACATATCAGAGCCTCACACTTCCCTTGAAGGAGTGAGGTTGTATGCAAGACAGACTCATCGTTCATTGCCAAGGAACAGCCGTCCGGAATCACCGGGCATGGAGTTACAAAGATGGGCCCCATAGCCAAACATATTAGAACCTCACACTTCCCTTGAAGGAGTGAGGTTGTATGCAAAACTGACTATTGTTCAATGCCACGGAACACGCGTCTCGAGTCACCGGGCATGGAGTTACAAGGCTGGGCCCCATAGCCAAACATATCAGAGCCTCACACATCTCTTGAAGGAGTGAGGTTGTATGCAAGACCGACTCATCGTTCATAGCCAAGGAACAGACGTCCCGAATCACCGGGCATGGAGTTACAAGGCTGGGCCCCATCGCAAAACATATCAGAACCTGTCGCTTCCCTTGATGGAGTGAGGTTGTATGCAAACCGACTCATCGTTCAATGCCAAGGAACACACGTCCCGAATCACCGGGCATGGAGTTGCAAGGCTGTCCCACATAGTCAAACATACCAGAGGCTCTGACTTCCCTTGAAGGAGTGAGGTTGTTGAGGTTGTATGCAAGACCGACTCATCATTCAATGCCAAGGAACACACGTCCCGAATCACCGGGCATGGAGTTACAAGGCTGGCCCACATAGTCAAACATATCAGAGCGTCACACTTCCCTTGAAGGAGTGAGGTTGTATGCAAGACCGACTCATCGTTCAATGCCAAGGAACACATGTCCCGAATCACCGGGCATGGAGTTACACGGCAGTCCCACATAGTCAAACATATCAGAGCCTCACACTTCCCTTGAAGGAGTAAGGTTGTATGCAAGACCGACTCATCGTTCAATGCCAAGGAAAACGCGTCCCGAATCACCGGGCACGGAGTTACAAGGCTGTCCCACATAGACAAACAAATCAGAGCCTCAGACTTCCCTTGAAGGAGTGAGGTTGTATGCAAGACCGACTCATCGTTCAATGCCAAGCAACACATGTCCCGAATCACCAGGCATGGAGTTACAAGGCTGTCCCACATAGCCAAACATATCAGAGCCTCACACTTCCCTTGAAGGAGTGAGGTTGTATGCAAGACTGACTCGTCGTTTAATGCCAAGGAACAGACGTCGCGAATCACCGGCCATGGAGTTACAAGGCTGTCCCACATAGTCAAACATATCAGAGCCTCACACTTCCCTTGAAGGAGTGAGGTTGTATGCAACACTGACTCATTGTTCAATGCCAAGGAACACATGTCCCGAATCACCGGGCACGGAGTCACAAGGTTGGGCCACATAGCCCAAAATATCAGAGCCTCACACTTCCCTTGAAGGAGTGAGGTTGTATGCAAACCGACTCATCGTTCAATGCCAAGGAACACACGTCCCGAATCACCGGGCATGTAGTTGCCAAGCTGTCCCAAATAGTCAAACATATCAGAGCCTCAAACTTCCTTTGAAGTAGTGAGGTTGTATGCAAGACCGACTCATCGTTCAATGCCAAGGAACACACGTCCCGAATCACCGGGCATGGAGTTGCAAGGCTGTCCCACATAGTCAAACATATCAGAGCCTCACACTTCCCTTGAAGGAGTGAGGTTGTATGCAAGACCGACTTATCGTTCAATGTCGAGGAACACATGTCCCGAATCACCGAGCATGGAGTTACAAAGCTGGGCCACATAGTCAAACATATAAGAGCCTCACACTTCCCTTGAAGGAGTGAGGTTGTATCCAAACCGACACATCGTTCAATGCCAAGGAACACACGTCCCAAATCACCGGGCATGGAGTTACAAGGCTGTCCCACATAGACAAACAAATCAGAGCCCCACACTTCCCTTGAAGGAGTGAGATTGTATGCAAGACCGACTCATCGTTCAATGAGAAGGAACACATGTCCCGAATCAACGGGCATTTAGTTAAATGGCTGGGCCACATAGCCAAACATGTCAGAGCCTCACACTTCCCTTGAAGGAGTGAGGTTGTATGGAGGACTGACTCATCGTTCGATGCCAAGAAACACACGTCCCGCAATAACGGGCGTGGAGATACAAGGATGCCCCCACATAGTCAAACATATCAGGGCCTCACACTTCCCTTGAAGGAGTGAGATCATACGCAAATTCGATTCATCGCTCAATGACAAGCAACACACACACACCCTAATTCACTTGGTATGGGGTCCCAAAGTTATATCAGAGCCTCACACGTTCTTTGAAAGAGTGAGGTTGTATACAGTACCCACTCATCGTTCAATGCCAAGGAACACATGTCCCGAATCACCAGGCATGGAGTTACAAGGCTGTCCCAGATAGCCAAACATATCAGAGCCTCACACTTCCCTTGAAGGAGTGAGGTTGTATGAGAGACTGACTCATCGTTCAATGCCAAGGAACAGACGTCGCGAATCACCGGCCATGGAGTTACAAGGCTGTCCCACATAGTCGAACATATCAGAGCCTCACACTTCCCTTGAAGGAGTGAGGTTGTATGCAACACTGACTCATTGTTCAATGCCAAGGAACACATGTCCCGAATCACCGGGCACGGAGTCACAAGGTTGGGCCACATAGCCAAAAATATCAGAGCCTCACACTTCCCTTGAAGGAGTGAGGTTGTATGCAAACCGACTCATCGTTCAATGCCAAGGAACACATGTCCCGAATCACCGGGCATGGAGTTACAAGGCTGTCCCACATAGTCAAACATATCAGAGCCTCACACTTCCCTTGAAGTAGTGAGGTTGTATGCAAGACCGACTCATCGTTCAATGCCAAGGAACACATGTCCCAAATCACCGGGCATGGAGTTACAAGGCTGTCCCACATAGTCAAACATATCAGAGCCTCACACTTCCCTTGAAGGAGTGAGGTTGTATGCAAGAGCGACCCATCGTTCAATGCCGAGGAACACACGTCCCGAATCACCGGGCATGGAGTTACAAGGCTTTCCCACATAGTCAAACATATCAGAGCTTCACACTTCCCTTGAAGGAGTGAGGTTGTATGCAAGACCGACACATCGTTCAATGCCAAGGAACACACGTCCCGAATCACCGGGCATGGACTTACAAGGCTGACCCGCATAGTCCAACATATCAGAGCCTCGCACTTCCCTTGAAGGAGTGAGGTTGTATCCAAACCGACTCATCGTTCAATCCCAAGCAACACACGTCCCTAATTACAAGGCATGGAGGTACAAGGCTGCCCTCATATAGTCAAACATATCAGAGCCTCCTGCCTCCCTTGAAGAAGTGAGGTTGTATGCAGGACCGACTCGTTGTTCAATGCCAAGCAACCCACATCCTCGATGGAGTTACAAGGCTGTCCCCACATAGTCAAACATATCAGAACCTCACACTTCCCTTGAAGGAGTGAGATCATACGCAAATTGGATTCATCGCTCAATGACAAGCAAAACACACACACACCCTAAATCACTATGGGGTCCCAAAATTGGCTGCTCAAAGTCAAACATAACAGAGCCTCACACTTTCTATGAACGAATGAGGTTGTATGTAAGACCGAGTCATCGTTCAATGCCGAGGAACACAAGTTCCGGATCACCGGGCATGGAGTTACAAGGCTGTCCCACATAGTCAAAACATATCAGAGCCTCATACTTCCCTTGAAGGAGTGAGGTTGTATGCAAGACCGACTCATCGTTCAATGCCAAGGAACACACGTCCCGAATCACAGGGCATGGAGCCTCACACTTCCCTTGAAGGAGTGAGGTTGTATGCAAACCAACTCATCGTTCAATGCCAAGGAACACACGTCCCGAATAACCGGGCATGGAGTTACAAGGTTGGGCCCCAGAGCCAAACATATCCTTGAAGGATTGGGCCGGGTTGTATGCAAGACCAAATCATCGTTCAATGCCCAGGAACCCACCTTCTGGATGGAGTTACAAGGCTGTCCCCACATAGTCAAACATATCGGAGCCTCACACTTCCCTTGAAAGCAACACCCGTCCCGAAATACCGGGGGTGGAGATACAAGGATGCTCCCACATAGTCAAACATATCAGAGTCTCACACCTGCCTTGAAGGAGTGAGGTCATACG